AGAGAGTGGGCACCTCCCAGAACATTGTTTTGTGCCACTCCCAACAGGAATACTCCAGGTGGACACCTTCAGCAATCAGGAGCTCCTCAGTTGCTCATAGAAAATCCCACCTTGGAGTTTACAAAGACTTATGGGTAGAAAAGCCACACAAAGTAATTTACTACACTGCAATTACTAATGGGACTCCATTTTGAATCCCAGATCTTACCATTCTTGAGGTTTTGTCCCATTTAAACCTGTTTGTGCTTTTGTCGCTCTTTTGCTGGGCTTATCCATCTCTTCTTCCTCTAATCAGTCCTTCAATGTTGATTTCACCAGACATATGGTGGACTTTAAAAAAAAAAAAAAAAAAACTCTTGTGTATTCTCCAAAGGTAAATCTACCCATTCTTACTCCTTCAACTTTAACCCAGTGCCTCCTTCTGCTTCCATCTGGCATCTCAATTAGGACTTTATCAAGATTCAGATCATGGGTTATCTCCTCTAGGAAGTCTTCCATGATCTCTTTCTCTCCTCTGTGTGCCACTTCCCTATAGTCTCATAACATCAACAAACAGTCATTCTTAAAGCAAATGCCCACATATGATATCATTATTGCTTTGCCTCCCCTCCCCTAGTTTGGGTAGTGAAGTGGGGTCTGCATTCCTGGCCTCCTTCCCCCTGCCCCAACCTCTCCTCCAGGTTTTCCCTTTAATGGTGTCAACAGTGCAAGGAAAATTCAAGTATTTGGGAACCTGGGTTTCAGAGATGTTAAAACACAGCAGGTATCAGAGGCCTTTTCATTTTCTGACTGCATTAGTGATTTTATTTCTTCTATCTCACATAATTAATAAGCTCCTTTTGTGTATTGAATTCTCTTCAGGTGACAGAGACAAATTTCAGACCAGGGAGCCTGTCTTGTCTCAGGAATATTTTCTTCAAAGAACCTTGACTCAAGTATCTCCAGAGGACTCCAACTTGGGGCAAGACAGGGACTGGGAAATGCAGAAAGTTCACTTGAGACCAGGGAAAATTCTCCACGAGGAGACCCATCCTGGAAGAATGAGCCTTGAACATGATGGTTGGTTGACAGAGGAGAGTTTGCACTTGAGGACATTACAGGAGCAAGTCTCTCCAGGAGATGCTCTCTACAAATGTGACTCCTATAGGCCATGTGTGACCTATGCAGGGAAGAACCCCTACGAATGCAAGGAATGTGGGAAAGGTTTTAACAGGAAGTGGAACCTTGTTCGTCATCAGCAGGTTCATACTGGAGTGAAGCCCTATGAGTGTAACAAATGTGGGAAAGTCTTCAGCCAGAGTTCCACACTCATCCGGCACTACTTCATCCACACTGGGGAGAAGCCACACAAGTGCATGGAGTGTGGGAAGGCCTTCAAACGCAGGTCATACCTCATGCAGCACCATCCCATTCACACTGGAGAGAAGCCCTACGAGTGCAGTGAATGTAGAATGGCCTTGACCCACCGTTCCACTTTTGTCCGCCATAATAGAACCCACAATGTTGAAAAGCCCTTTGAGTGCAAAGAGTGTGAGAAAACTTTCAGCAACCGAGAATACCTGATTCAGCACTATGTCATCCACACCAGAGAGAAACCCTATGATTGTGAGGAGTGTGGAAAGGGCTTCAGATGTAGCTCTGAACTTGTGCAGCACCTCCGAATCCACACTGGAGAGAAGCCCTATGTTTGTTTCCAGTGTGGGAAGGCCTTTCATCGGAGTGCCACCCTCATCCAACACTCTGTCATCCACACTGGGGAGACACCATACAAGTGTGCTGAGTGTGGGAAAGCCTTCAGACGCCGGTCCCACCTCATACAGCACCATCAGACCCACACTTGAAAAGCCCTGTGAGTGTAGTGAGTGGAAGGGCCTCACCCACTGCTTCTATTTTATCTCTCATAATAGGATCCACACCAGAAAATTTGTGTAGTGTAGTGGATGTGGGAAAGGTTTCTACCATAGCTCCTCTTTAATTCAACACATGGGCAGCCACACTGGAGGAAAGCCCTAGGAATGCAGCACTGTACAGTCATGTCCTGCACATTGCTTTTTAGCTTTTCTATTAAGGAGCCCTGGAGGTGCAAATAGTTAAGCACTCAGCCTCTAACCCAGCAGCTCCAGGGGAAGAAAGACCTGGTGATCTGCTCCTATAAAGCCTGCAGTCTGGAAAACCCTATGGGGCAGTTCTACTTTGTAACATGGAGTCACCATGAGTTGAAAATTGACTCAATGGCACCTAACAAAAACATAAACTCACACCATTGTGTAATTGCTTACAACATAAATACATGTTAGAAAACTTACATAGGCCCTCAGTGTTGATGCCAAACTCTCCATGTGTTCACAGGCAGGGCTCACTAAGCTTCATCCTCAACTTTTTTCAAATCTTTCCCATGAGCCACATTCCTTTCCTCACCCTTGATCATTCTAGATATTTAGACTGTTTAGATAAATGGGAAATGCCATATGGAAAAGCCTTCCACAGCTTGACACAGAGAAATCAGTTGACACTCATGGACACTCTTGTGTCAAAATACAAATACTCTCACTCCAATTTAGGGTAAATTCTCTACTATTCCTTGCTCTGATTCCCATTCACTCTTATTTTTGGAGTGACATTGCTTATGCTTGATTAAATTCCTTGACTGACAACCACAATGTTCTACAAACTATATATATATAATTTTATACAATTCTGGCCTGTGTCTTAAAAAATCAGCCACTTGATCAAATATACTTCCTGATTTTACTTGTCTTCTTTGCCTTTTATTATTAATTTCCTGGGATCAATTCTGCTATTCCTGCTTTTATTTCTTTAATCCATATTAAATCTTTAATTAAGTGAAATAATAATTTTCATCCTCATATCTCCAGAGACACAGAATTCTGAATCTGCATGTGGTTGCTAGGAGTTGAAATTGACTCAATAATGCCTAATGAGTCTGTAAGCTAACTTTTTGTCCTAATTTTATTTATTTACTTATTTTATCATGGTAAATGTATATAAAACAAAACATTTACCATTTCAACAGTTTTTTATATCAACTATCATCACTATTTGTTTCCAAAATTTTCTGTCACCCTCAAGCTCAGTACCACACATGCAGTGACTCCCTCTGCCCCTCTCAGTTAACAATTTTAATGTTCACTTCTATCATCAACGCTACTCTCTAAACCACTGCTCTCTAAAACTCTCTTCCTAACCCACTGCAGTTGATTCCAACTCATAGCAACAGATCTACACACAAGGTTTCCAAGGCTGTTAGTCTGTACAGAAGCAAAGCCTAAACCAAATCCACTGCCATCAAGTCTGACTCACAGCACCCCTAGAGGACAGAGTAGAGCTGCCTCATAGTGTTTCCAAGGCTGTAATCTTCACAGAAATGGGTCACCAGGTCTTTTCTGCCACTGATCCCCTGGATGGGTTTGACTTTTCAGTTAGCAGTCAAGTGCTTAACCACCAGGACTCCTTTGAAAACACTAAGTGTCATGGATTGAATTGTGCCCCCCAGACATAAGTGTACGCTTGGCTGGACCATGATTCTCAGTAGTTTGGCATTTATGTAATGATGTGTGTGGCAGTTATATAATAATGTAATCCATCTTACATGATGTGATCTGATGTGATAATCAGTTGTGACAGTATTAAAGAAGATTAGGGTGGGTACAGGACTCTTAATCCCATCTGGGCCCTGGTCTGAGGTAAGGGGAGTTTCCCTGGGGTGTGAACTGCAGCACCTTTTGTCTTATAAAAGGAGAGTGAAAGGAGCAGAGAGAGGGGGGCCTACTACTATGCAGAAAGAAGAGCCAGGAACAGAGCGTCCTTTGGACCCAGAGTTCTTGTGCTGGGATCCTCCTGGAACAAAGAGACAGAACCAGCCCTCTGAATTCGGACATCTAGCCTCCTAAACTGAGAAAATAAATTTGTTTGTTAAAGCCACCCACTTGTGTTTCTGTTATAGCAGCACTAGATAACTAAGACAGCGAATGAAATAAGCCAGTCACAAAAGGAGAAATACTGTATGATCACATTTATATGAAACAAGCTAATACATAGAAGCCAAAGATTATTAGTGGTTTCCAGGGGTTGAGCAAGCCCTGGTAGGACAGTGGTTAAAAGTACGTGGTTGCTAACCAAAAAGTCGTTGGTTGGAACCCAGCAGCCATTCTACAGGAGCAAGATGTAGCAGTCTTCTTCCATAATGATTGGTAGCCTTGGAAACCTTATAGGGCAGTTCTACTTTCCTATAGGGTTGCTATGAGTCAGAATTGATTCAAGTTGGCAGGGGTGGGCAAGGACAGGAGGGAGGGGCATTTTTGTTTGGGGCACATTGAGTTTACATTAATGATGGTTGAATATTTTTGAAAAGAGGAACAATAATGGTGCAACATGAAAAACAGAATTCAATGTCATTGAATTGTAAATGTGGAAGCTATTGTGCTGGGGAATATTTTGATGTTTCTATTTTCACAATAAAAAGGTGAAAAATACACATATCTTGATTGCTGTGTAAAGTTAATGATTTTATGCTCAGCATAACATTGGCATCTCTGGTCTGATTTCTCTCCTGATATATTCCATACACTTAGAACAGTCTGGCACACAGTAAGTTTTCACTGAAACATAAGCAAACGTGACACTCCTACCTGCCCTTATCTTTGCTACATTTTTTTTGCTATGCTTCTATTCCTTTATATTTCATCAAAGCCAGATGAAACTTGATTGCAGTGGCTTTGCTTTAGGCTTTGCTTCTGTAAAGACTGACAGCCTTGGAAACCCTGTGGTCCCTGCCCAGTGTGCAGTTAGGCCAAAACAGTGATTAAGAGGAGAGAAAATTATTTATTGCAAAGAGACAATGCAAGGAGACATGGGTCTTTGCCCAAATCTGACTCCCCAAATCTAAATCAAATTACAGTTTTTGTAAGTTTCAGGAGAGAGGGTTATGCATATTAATAAAAATTTCAGAAATTTGGGCATGAAATAGTTGATGACTGGCTGAAATTTCCTTCGTCTTTGTTTAAAGGGACAGTTGTTTTTTAGTGCAGTGCGCTTGCGCACGGATGAGTCACACTGGTTTCCTGTCATCAGCTGATCAGGGCTTAGACAGGAGAGAATGTCAGTTCCCAGCAACTTTGTTCCTGTCTGCTTCAATGTGCATGCCCATGGACCAAAGGTAATTTTCAAGTTGTCTTTTGAGATGCATTAACATGCTTATCACTTCTTTCTAGGGGAATGTTGTTGTTGTTGTTATGTGCCGTCGAGTCAGACCCGACTCATAGCGACCCCTCCTTGGGTTTCCAAGGCAGTATCACTACGGAATTAGATTGCCCCATCTTCCTTCCGAGGTGTGGCTGGTGGGTTTGAACCGCCAGCCTCCTGGTTAGCAGTCAAGTGCCTTAGGCACTATGCTACCAGAGCTCCCTTCTAGGGGAATAGCAGGAAAGAATGTGCAAATTGGCTTTTTTGTTCCATTCACTTCTTAAGGAACTGAACTTATTGTGTTTACTCATCTGTATGTAACTGGGGTCCTAATTGTCTTAACCAGGGTGGGGAAATAGTTGAGCTTTCAACCTACTCAGCTCTTAAGGAACTGAGTAATTATGTCCACTTATTTATTTCCAACTGGGGTCCTGTCTGTTCTAAACAGGGTGGGGGAAATAGTTGAGTATTGACTTTACCCAGTTTCAGTCCCCCTTGAATGGTTACTGTTCCACATTCTTGGGGAACGGTGCAACGACTCATTCTAGCTACTTCCTGCTGTCTGGAGATAAAGATGGTGGAACTCAGGTATTGGTTAGTAAGTCTCTTGTAGTTTAGACAGCTCTCAGAATTTTTTGGCCATAGTGTGGGGAGAAGAGACTAGGGGTGCCTGTAGAGTAGCCTGTAATTTTGGGGATTTGAAGACAGATAAGCAGTTAGGTAGACATTGAATATAACAGCAAGTGAAGAGTATTAATGTTAATATGAGGAGTGTTATAACAAATAAAGATCTCAGCCACCCTGAATTGGGTAACCAAGAGGTGAACCAAGAAAAGTCTATCTCAAAGGTGGGGGTCAAACTGTGTTGTATAGTTTCCCTGTCCTGTTGCAATTTAAAAATGGTCTGATGAATAGCCTGTTGATCTTGTTCTGTTTGTCCTGATGCATTACCTAATGAGCAACAGGTGGCACTGGTGTATATACATACCCCACCTGTGCTACTAGCATGAGGTCCAGGGCTGCCTGATTCTGAAGCACAACAGTTTGGATAGTGGTTATTTCTGTTTGGAGTGCAGAAGTTCTATCAGAGGTAGAGTTGGCTACTGACTCTAGGGAAACAGAAACGTTCTGAACGAATCCGTATAAACAATGGAGGTCATTATAATTTTTCCTGATGCCCATCCTGTTGTTGTTGTGTTGTTATGTGCTGTTGAGTCGGACTCGACTCATAGCGACCCTCCTTGGGTTTCCGAGGCGGTATCACTACAGAAGTAGATTGCCCAACCTGCCTTCTGAGGAGTGGCTGGTGGGTTTGAACCGCCAGCCTTTTGGTTAGCTGTCAAGTGCCTTAGGTACTACACTACCAGAGCTCCTAGACAACATATTGCACTGGGAAAATATACTGCAAAAGGTGTCTTTAAAGTTTTAAACGGCCAAGATGTCACTCTGAAGGCTAACGTGCACCTAACTCAAGGCATAGTATTTTCAGTCGCCTCATATTCATGTGAAAGGTAGACAATGAATAAGGACAACCAAAGAGTTGGTGCTTTTGAGTTGTGGTGTTGGTGAAAAATACTGAAAATACCATGACTTCCAGAAGAACAAACAAATCTGTCCTGGAAAAAGTACAGCCAGAATG